ATGCATCAGACTCCTGAAAGGACTCACAATGATTCTTTCATATCTACTTTTCTAGGGCATCAACCCATAATTTTTCCTATTCCAGGTACAATGCTGAATTTGTCAAATGGTAAAACTTCGGGTCTGTTCCTATTTCACTTCATTAACCGTGACAGAACCAGTTTAAGGGCAAGTAGGAGTTATCCAATTCAAGTCAGATTCAGAAGAGGATGTGGAACTGGGGATATCATTGCTGATATCAGATGAATCTTGGCTGAAAGCAGAGAATACCAGAAAGATATTTACTTGTGTTTTGTTGAACTATGCATAGGTTTCTGACTATGTGGATCATAACAAACTATGGATAACATTGTGAAGAATGGAAATTCCAGAACACTTAATTGTGCTCGTGAAGATCCTGTGCATGGAACAAGAGGCAGTCATTCTAACAAGGGGATACAGAATGGTTTAAAATCAGAAAAAGGTGGATGCCAGGTCGTATCCTTTCATCATACTTATCCAGTCTGTATGCTGAGCAAATAATCTGAGAAGATGGACTTCATGAAGAACAATGCACCAGGATAATAGCAAGACTAATTAACAATGTACAATATGATGACGGCCCAACCTTGCTTGCTGAAAATGAAAAGGACTTAAGCACTTACTGATGAAGATGAAAGACTATAGCCTTCACTATGGATTACATCTCAATGTAAACAAAACAAAATTCCTTACAATTGAACCCACGAACAACATGATGATTAATTGAGAAAAGATTGAAGCTGTCAAGGATTTCATTTTTACTTGGATCCACAATCAACGCTCATGGAAATAGCGGTCAAGAAATCAAATGACATATTCTCTGGGAAAATCTACTTCAAAAGACCTTTTTTAAGTGTTAAAGAGCAAATATGTCAATTTGCAGACTAAGGTGCACCTTACCTAGGCCATGGTATTTTCAATACCCTCATATGCATGTGAAAGCTGGACACTGAATAAAGAAAATTGGAGAAGAACTGATGCCTCTGAATTACGGTGTTGGTGAAGAATAATGACTGCCAAAAGAACAAACAAATCTATCTTGGAAAAAGTACAGTCAGAATGTTCCTTTAAAGTAAGGATGACGAGATTCGTCTCATGTATTATGTTTTGCACATGTTATTAGGAGGGACTAGTCCTTTGGAAAGGACATCATGTTTGGTAAAGTAAATGGTTAGTGAAAAAGAAGATCCTCAATGAAATGGACTGACACAATGGGTACAACAATAGGCACAAACATAGGAAAGACTGTGAGGATGGTATAGGACCAGGCAGTGTTTCATTCTGTTGTACATAGGAGTGTTATGAGTTGGAACAGACTAGATGGCACCTAATAACAACAACATGCTCAGAGATTGGATTGTGTTTTAAAATGCAAGAATAGGAAAGTTTATACATTAATAATCAGATGGCTTTCAATGCTTACCAATTTGCCTTCAGTTAATATATGAATATTTCCAAATTATTCTAATGCATTGTACTTTATCAAAGAGAACCCAGTACTTGGGAATGTTCTGGACTCTGGAATAGGTACTCTAAAACCATCTGAGGCAGAATATCAAAATTGTGGCTTTACTGAACTGGAGAATAAGCTTAGTACAATCATCTAAAGACATTGCAAATTTTTAAAAATAAACTTATAGTAGTTTTCAAACAACTTAATCTATATATTTCCTTTACTTATGTTTTTAAATCTGAGACTTCAGATTTAAATGGAGCAATTTTATCTTATTAACACTTACCTGAATGACTTTGTATTTTTAGAATGTATTACAATTATGAGTATATTGGTAGTTACTTAAATAAATTATGTTAACTTTATAAAACTTTGAAATACTTGAGAATTAATTAGTAAAATCTTTAGCAAGTAGTTTAAGGTCAATTACGTACTTGCAAAAATTAATCACAATATGACCTATGCTACCCTTTATTTGGAGTCCTGGTGTGGTACTGCAGATTAATGCGCTGGACTGCAAGGTCAGTTTGAACTGCAAGGTCGGTGGTGGTTCAAGCTCACCAGCTGCTCCCTGGAAATCCTATACAGAGTTGCTATGAGTCAGAAACAACCAGACGGCACTTAATATTAACAACAACACCCTTTATTTTGTGTAAGGTTTAGCTTACATTTATCTTATTTAAAGACTTTGTCTTATATGGAAATGATATCATTTTGTGACATCTAGAAAATTACTTGGTTTCATAGGAAGCATTATATACTGAAAATAACATAGTGTACTGGGAATTGTGTTTAAAGTGACTTACTTCGAATATTACCTGGAAGTTAGACTATTTTTCCACACTACTGAATAAAAAGACATAGGCTATCATATACTGAGAAAAGAAAACGGATGTTGTGAAGTTGACAGAGGAATTAGAGATGGAACAAAGAAACCACAGACATTGTTTTTGTGTTGTTGTTCAATTTTATCCACAGTTTCCTTCGGTAATATACACTTAATGTTCCATTTATTTTTAAATGCATCAGAAAATCAATCATGATAGATCTGTGACCAATACAAACATTTCTGAATTCTTTAAAAAATTCAGTTAGAAAAGTCATTAAACTAGCATTCTGTAAAGATAATTATTAAACAAACGATAATGCATTTTTGCTCCTTATTTCAATTCTAACATACATATCCAACATCACTTATTCTTTCTTGTGCCATACAGTAATAAAATTTAACAAATGTAGCTATTTATTGTACTTTTAGGACCTAATAAAATATTAGTTTGATTATTCAACCCTCATCAAAAAACAAATCCAATTGAATTATTAATAACCATTCTTAATTCAATAACTGATGAAGTAAATATATAATAATCATAAAAAGAAAAAACATTTAGAATGATTTTTACACTTAAAAACAGTTAAAAGAACTATATAGTGTGATAATGCCAGAGATTATGGTGGGAAACTGCCTTCAAGGTGATATGGTGGTATAGATTTAGTAGACATCAATGGCATGCACCTCAGATGAACCCATCTTAAATGAAAACCTGATTCACTTTAAAGAATGCCACAAGAAAGATCTGGTGTGTTTTCTCTTTGAATAACTAAATGATAAATAAGTGAAATGCAGTAAGGAAATAGCCTGCAAATTCATTAATATTTCAGTGAGATGAAACAAGAAAATATTTGTAAAAATATTTAACATCTAGATTGACTAATAAGAGAAATTTCTACACTATGGTAACTATGCCATTGGAGTGTATGGCTATGATAGTTTTAATGGTCACTGGTATTTGTAATATTGTCAAGAGTCAAGAGTCTACACTAAAAACTAATTAAAGTATTTCATTGTTATTTCTTACCTGTATTACCCAGGTATCCACATGAAATATTGATTATGTCACTGAGGTTTTCTCAGCTCCAACTTAAAAATGACCAATTAATTCAAAACATTTTAGGTGATAAATTACTAGTAATTTAGTTTTTAAAACTTACAGTCTGAAGAAAGTTTAATTCTCTAGAAACTCCAATTTGATTTTGGGGAATAAAAAGAATATACCTGGATTCTATAGCCAAAATTCAATTCAATGGCTTCATGCCAATTAATCAAAAAAAAGAATTCCTAAACCCTTACTTTACCATTTGGCACACTAGTTTTTTACCTTTGATATATATACCCTTTGAAATACTCAGGCCAACAATTTTAACAAGTTGCATCCATAATTAAGAGGTAATAAGTGCAAATAATCACATATTTAAGATAGGATACTTGCTTGGCTACTACAAAAGTATTAAGGTTATTCTATAGGAAACCGAGTTATTCATGTACAATAACGTTTTTGAAAATTTCCAGTACTACTACGTCTAAATTAACAAGGACTTTACCTAACATAATGTAGTTATGAATACATTTAAAGTACGGTCTGTGGCTGATTCAAATTAAGTAAATTAAGAATTGTGAGATTGACAGAATCCACAAAAGGCGGAAATTGAAATAAACATCTATTCCTAAACTGCTGCTTGATAAATGTAGCTAAAAAACAGGACTGATACAATATTCCTTAAAGTCAACATAGAAATCCAAACTTTGGCAGTGTTATCAAAATGTCCTTGATAATTAATACTTCACTAGTTCTCAAAAAACTTACTGTTTTGTGTAAGGTTTTCCATACAGAAATAAAATACTCTTCAAATAATACATTTTAAAAGAAGATTAAATTTTGCAAAATTAAATAGCATAAATAAAGCATATTAACATTGTATTGTTGACAACACTAAATAACCAGTTTAAGAAAAATTGCAATGGACTAAATTTTTAAAAATCATAAATGTTATAATGTGAGACATATTGAAATCCTCACATAATACTGACCATATAAAGTCTACTAAAATATTTAAAAGTTCCATTGACTCTATTCATACATAAAAAGAAATCGCAAAAATGTTTAAGACTATATTAGAGTCATCAATTACACAGGCACTTCACATGTAAACAATCTACAGTACAACTGAAAAGATTTTGGCACCAACCTATAATACTAAAGGAATTTAATATAAAGCCAGATTTCTGATTTATTTTTCTAGAAAGCTAAGAACAAAGATTGAAGAAATTTTGTCTAAACTATGTGTGTATTAAAGAATTCAAATCAGTAAAAAAGGTATTACCTTCTCCAGACATTTACTAGTATGTCATGATGTAAAAAATTAACCAAATGTGATCATTTAAATGAAACCCTTTTTAAATTTAGTTATGATTCTGTTTAAAAAAAAACACAAGGTTACTAACCGACTCAGGAAAAAGAGAATGTGAATGTATCAAAAACTCTTATTAATTCACTCCAATCTCCCTCCTAAAAAAGAGTTTGGAAATTCAAAGTTTAATTTTTATGTTTCACATATAATTTTTTTAAAGCCTAAAACTTGATCTAATTAAATTACTTCCGATTGGACATTCTAATTCTTGAAGTTAAGATGTTTGAAATTATTTCAAATAAAAGAAACTGTACAGGTATGATTTGAAAATGTTATATCAAGCCGTAGATAGCTGAGATGCCTTGGTTGTAGGCAATTCAAGAAGAGCCTGAACTGTGACACCAACTTTGACAAGACCTCGTTCTTCCAAAATATGATGAGGTAAACAGAGTCTTTCCTGAAAAATAAAACAAAACAAAAATGATGTTTGAGCATTCATTTTTTTAATTGAAAAGTAAAATCTAAATTCTGCAAAAGTCCAGGTCAGAATTAATAGGCCATAATCAGATTTTAAAACTATGCTCTCTGTAAAACTTCCGGTAAAAATGATATAATTCTACATTTTCTTTTCTAAACATCGTAATTTAAAATGTGTTTAGACTCTTAGATTATGTTAAGTAAAAGATTATAAAGACTGGCCTTGTCTGAAATATCACTTTTAATACTCTTCTCACTTTACACCTGACTAACCAAGGGCTGAGTATGTAGAAAAAAATGGAGCGCTCCTATATTATTAGTAGAAATAGAAACTTGCACAACAGTTCATAAAACAGTTTTGTTCTTTTTTAAAAAAGTTAGTCAGCGATGCAAGGATGGTTCGATATTAGAAAAACAATCCATGTAATCTACCACATAAATCAAACAAAGGAAAAGAACCACAGCATCATATCAGTTGATGCAGAAGAGGCATTTGACAAAATCCAACATTCATTCCTGATAAAAACACTCAACAAAGTTTGAATTGAAGGGAAATCCAATGTAATAAAGAGCATATATACAAGTCCCACAGCCAACATTATCCTCAATGGAAAGAAACTTTGTGAACATGAACCAGACAATGATGTCCTTAATTACCATTCCTATTCAATATTGTGTTCGAAGTCTTTGTTGTTGTTAAGTGCCATTAAGTAGGTACCGACTCAGCAACCCTATGCACAACAGAACAGAACAGTGCCCAACCCTGGGCCAACCTCACAATCGTTGCCATGTTTCAGCCCATTGATGCTACGTTTGAGCCCACTGTGCCAATCCATCTCTTTGGGGTTCTTCCTCTTTTTCTCCAACCCTCCTCTTTACCAGGGCAAGAAAGGGAAAATAAAGGCATCCATATTGGCAAAGATGTAAAACTCTGAAAAGGCAATCAGGAAAACAATACCTAGGCACCCCAAAGATGAAATACTTCGAAATAAATCTAGCCAGAGAAACAAAAGACATAATAATAATAATAATAATAATAAACCTACAGACCACTACAGGAAACCAACGAGACTTACTAAAATCGAAGGATGCACCATGTCCATGGATAGGAAAACATGGGAAAATGCCGCTACTACCCAAAGCAATCTACAGATACAGTGCAGTCCCAATCTAGATTCCAACAATATTCTTTAAAGAGATGGAAAAAATGATCACTAACTTTATATGGAAAGGAAAGAAACCTTGGATAAGCACAGCACTATTTAAGAAGAACAAAACTGGAGATCTCTCACTTCCTTATCTCAAAATTTACTACACAGTCACAGTGGTCAAAGCAGTCAGTGAACTCATCTACATACAGTCAGTTGATGAAATCCATTTGCAAAAAAATGAAACAAGACCCATATCTTACAGGACATACAAAAATGAACTCAATAGGGACTGAAGACCTAAAAGTAAAATTTAAAACTATAAAGATCATCAATGCAAAAATAGAGACAAACTTAGGGGTTCCAATACATGGCATAAATTCACTGTCAAACATAACTAAAAACACAAACAGTTGAAGACAAAATAGATGACTAGGGCATACTAAAAATTAGACACTTGTGTACAACAAAAGATTTCACCAAAAGAATAAATAGGGAGCCCACAGACTGGGAAAAAAATTTTTTTGCAATGAAATCTCAGACGATGGCCTAATCGCCAAAATTTATAGAAAACTACACCTCTACAAGAAAAAAAGACATACCAATTGAAAATAAGAAGTTAAAGATATGCCTACTATACTTACCCAAGATTAAAGAAACCATATAGCCAATACAAAGGTTTGTACATAAATGTTCTTAGCAACTTTATTGGTAGCAGTCCCCAGTAATGAAGTCAGGTTAATGGACTAAGAAAGTGGTATATACTTAAGGAATACTCTATGTATGTATACAACAATGGCTCTTGAAATAATCATGCCGAATAAAAGAAGCCACAAAAAGCTATATGTACTGTATGGTTCTATTTATATAAAATCCTAGAAAATGCAAACTAATTTAGAATGACAGAAAGAAGATTAGTGTTTGCCTAGGGAAGCAACATGATGAAACTTTTAGGGGCAATGGACATGTTCACTCTCTGGCTGTGGTAATAATTTCACAGTGCATACATATTTCCAAACATGTAACAGTGTGCACTGCATGTACACTTTATTATATGTCAATTGTATCTCAATGAAACTGTCATAAAAGAAAAAATATGTAAATGGAACAAAATAATTCAGTAAGAAAAACTAAATAACTGTTACCATTTCTGAATTCTGGAAAACAACTAAATTCATAAAACAAAAATGGCAACACAGGAAAATGTACAGAAAACAATAATAGCAAACAACAACAACAACAACAACTACCTTCCTTATTCTTCTATTTTCAAAGAGATAAAGACTATAAAAATATAAAATTAGAATTTTTAAATCATATTGTCAAGCATGTTGTCATGTGCCATCCAATCAATTGTGACTCACAGAGATCCATAGCAACTCCGGAAGCAGCTAGTGGGGTCAAACAGCCAACCTTTCAGTTGTCAGCTAAGCGCTTAACCATTAAACCACCAGGGCTCTACTTGTAAAGCATAAAGAGGTAATTAGAGAACAGCACATAGTTTCCAAAATTATATATTAATTTATCTGATTCTCAAGGCAATAAATTATATTTATTCACCACGGAAAGAGGTGAAAGTGGAATCTACAACTCATTGGGATCTTCTAACAGTGCCCTGCTTTCTCAATAGTTAGTCATATTAAGGTTAGGTCTACAGTGATTTCAAAAAGAGCTATATTTTGGTTAGTGGTTACGAATCGGGCTGCTAACCTCAGGGTCAACAGTTCAAAACTACCAGCTGTTCCTGGGAGAAAAATGAGGCTTTCTGCTCCTGTAAAGATTTATAGCCTCAGAAACCCTGTACAAGGTTGCTGTGAGTAGGAACCGATTCCACAGCACATAACAACATGTTCATTATATACTTAAAATACTGCTCAAATCCTTGATGTTATAATATTTCAGTTATGTGAAACATAAGTCAATTCCTACAAATTTCAAAGTTACTTTGACACTAAAAGTAAATTTTAAATTGCTGTTTGAGGTGAATGCAAATCTTCCAATGTGAATCTTTTTATGGATTTAGAGAAGACAAATAGCTTCTTCCAGCAGGAAAGACATATTAACAATGACATCAAAACCAAGTTACGATATGGCCACTAAGCCAGGTTTAGTCAATAATGTGCATGATTAAAAAACTTTTCCATACATAACTATTTTATAAAAGCAGCCTAACATTAGATAGCTACTGTGGTTAGACCTATGAACTCCTGGCGTGGCACTATAGGATCAGCACTGCACTGCAAACCACAAGGGTCACTGTGAGTCGGAACTGGCTCCATGGAACTTAGCAACAATTACAGCATGGTTAAAGCTAGAATTAAGTAAAAGATACCAAGGGAAGGAATGAAGGAATTCATTTTTATGTTCAGGAAGCATTCATTACCCATTCCTATTGTGAAAAAGAAGAATCTCCCAGTTTGCTTGTAAAGTCAATGTTTTTAGATAAATCATAATTACCTGTGATACGCCCAACTTTTTACAAGCATCAAGAAAATTTTCTACATTTCTTCGACATTTTGCCATGCTCAGTTTAGGCTGCAAAGTAAGGGGTGGGGGGGGAATTCAGGCATTTATATGTAGAAATCAATCAAAATGTAAAAACTGAATGTATTGAGACTTATTATTACAAAGTAAGCTCTAAATTTTATCTTCCTTTAGAAAGCGTATGAATTGCACACAAAGCTTACCACTGCCGGTGATGGTACATGAATGCTAGCTACAGACCGTGGCCTTATATGATTGGCTAAATGGCAAAGAACAACTCCATCCATCAGGGCAGCTCCAATGTCATCAGGCAAAATTACTTTTAACCTGGACTCAAGATTCTATAAAGAAAATGGGTACAAATCACAGATTTTCTGCCTAAACACATAATATATTGATATTATTAACTAGGTTATAATTGAACAATTATTAAATAACATTGAAAATAAAATCCATACACCTTGTTAATGTTCCAAATTAAACCTATTTCTGCAAAGCAGCGAGGAAAGTTCACACTGACGTACATTTCGAAGTTGTCGTATTTGCTCTCGTTCTTCCCGTAAATGCTCCATCTTTCTTCTCATTGTAAATCCAGGATCTGCAGCCCCATATTCTTGGCGAGATGAGCGACTAAAAGCTATGAAAACAGAAATTCTCTAACTTATTACCAAGCTAATAATACAGCAGTCATTGATGGGGAAAGAGATATGATAAAGAGAAGTAGTACAAATCTACGTAAATCCCTATTACTTATAGTTGCTGTTGTTGTTCAAGTGCCGTCGAGTCGATTCCGACCCATAGCGACCCTGTATAGGGTTTCCAAGGAGCAGCTGGTGAGCTTGAACCACTGACATTGCAGTTCAAACTACTTTGCAGTCTGACGCATTAACCCACGGTGCCACACCAGGACTTATTAAAACACTGTAAAATAGCTTTACAGAATATGTTTGAACTCCTCTACATAATTGAAAACAATAGGACAGAAAAGTGTAACTATTTCTACTACCAATATATGCACTTAGGTAGCTCTGGTAGCATAGTGATTATGAGTCAGTCCAGCTGCGAACCTCAAAGTCAGCAGTTTGAAACTACCAGCTGTTCTGCGGGAGAAAGATGAGGCTTTCTGCTCCCATAAAGATGTACAACCCTGGAAACCCTGTGCAGGGTCCCTATGAGTTGGAACCGACTCCCTGGCACACCACCACCACCACCACCACCACCATATATTCTCTTATTTAAACATATTCTATTAGAAAATTATGACCCAGTTTAAAAATGATTATCGAACATAATTCAGTTGTTTAATATCTTTAAAGTAAAAGGAAATTACTCTTGAAGGTCAATACAGTTATTCAGGAATAAAAACTGTAATCCAATACCTTGCCAAGTAACATGGGTCCATTTTCTTTTGGGCTTGCCAAATGCGAAAAGATCCCCCTTTAAAAGCACAATATAATGAAGGGCTATAATTTCAAAGTGTTTGGTCTGCTGGCAGGGTGGTCATTCTAAGAGCAGTCACAGTAGAGTAGAAATGAGACTGCAGTATATCTAAGGCAAAAAGCTGAGGTTTCAGGAGCTTGAAGGTAAAGAGGAAGAAAGAAATGGGGAATGGGAATTGGAAAGACAAATAAGGTTAAGAGAAAATTATTTTTTGGTGAGGGGAAAGAATCCATGTGTACTTAAAACTATGGAATCAATCTCATTTAGCTGAGAAATTAGTTTCATTACATAGCCAATGAACTCTATTTATAGAATACATATTTACCTGACCTAGGCTTCAAACCAAACGGACCATGTGAAAAACCATCAGTTCTGTCATATTCCTAAAAAAAACCAGAAAACAAATAAAACCTCTATTTACCTTTTCAATATAATCAAGGTATCTATTTTTATCCAGTGCAATTTTGAGAAAAACTCATTTTTTTCATGATTAGTAGAAAAAGTAACTTGCATTTTGATTCAAGTTATCACATTTCTAAAATAGATACTATTTTTTAAAAAAAGACAAACCAGAATAAAGTCTTCCCCCAAATGTATTAAATGTCAATGTGAAGTTAGCAACATATGCTCAGTATATTCTGGTCTGGGGCCATAGGATAAGCCCTCGACTTAAAAGGTCAGTTTGAACTGCCAGGGTGGTACTTCAAACTTCCCAGGCACTCCTCGGAAATCCTATGAGTCACTATGAATAGGAACCGACTAGATAGCACTTAACAACAACAATAACAATGCTATAAATGGGCAGGAGAAAGATGAGGCTTTCTGCTCCCGCAAAAATTTACAACCATGGAAACCCTATACAGAGTCTCTATGAGTTTGAACAGACTTGACAGCACTTTAACAGCAACAACTATGAATGGGACACTTAGGGAATATTCTAATGTAAATTTACATATTCATACTAATAGGGGCTACAAAGTGATAGATGACAAATTGTTATCTCTTCTATTTGAAGAGAAAATGCTTCAAAGTGCTTTCACATGCTGTATATGTATATGTATGCTGTAATGGTGATAAGTTATAAAAAACAAAACAAAAAACTGAACTAAACTTGTAGTCTGGAAGTTTAGATTTAAGTCTTGGGTATACCTTTTAATTTCTATGACTGTTTTCTTAATTTTTAACGTGGAGCTGTTGCTTAACCATTTTATAAATTGCAAGGTGGTAAAATAATGCAATTTTAGCAGCATCTTATTTAATCTGTGCAACAACTTTGTGAAAAAGTTTAGGCGTGAAGGAGCCCTGGTGACAGTGTTTATGTGCCTAGCGGCTACTCAAGAATTCAAAAACTTGACCCCAACAGCCACGCTGTGAGAGAAAGGTATCTTAAATATTTGCTGTTATTATTAACTGCTGTCAAGTCACTTCCAACTCCTAGCAGGTGGTGGGTTTGAACTGCTGATCTTGTGTTTAGCAGCCCAATGCTTATCACTGGAAGCCTTATGGGGCAATTCTACTCTGTCCTATAGGGTGACAATGAGTTGGATGTGTTTAATAATTTTGGTTGGGCTTCTGCTGCTGTTGTTGTAAGTGCCACTGAGTCAGTGCCAGCTCATAGCCTCCATATATGAGGTTTCTGATGAGCAGTTGGTGGGTTTGAACCACCGACTTGTGGTTAGCAGTCCAGTGTTTATTCCCCAGTGCCTTTACTCTCTGCTACTTACTGAGATCTTTGGGAAAGTTATCCGTGTCTTCAGCTAAAAAATGATAAGGATGACACCTAGGCTCATGGAACAAGCGTTACTTTCAAATGGACAGGCAAGCACTTTGTTAGCTTCAGGCATCACATTGACTGTTTTTACCATTTTCCTTTTACAGATGAAACTGCAGTCATCAAATTTCTGACTCTTTGAAGCTTCTGTTGATCAACACGTGACATGCAGTTCAAGTTGAACAGCTACCAGAATGTAGGCGCATGACCTAGTCAACCACAAGCCTCAAAGTATGTCTTCATCATTTTGGTTGAAATGTTATCAGTTTGTAAACAGAAATTTCACTTATCCAAGTGCAAGCAAAACGCATCATACACTCAATATTTATAAGACAGCATTGGCTTTAGTACACTGCCTGTGAGCATAGATATCAAATCATAAAGCAATTAGGAAAACAAACAGTTACATGCCAACATGTGTTAAAACAGAAGTCAAATAAAGGATTTCTCAAGTATGTAACAGAAAAACTTTTTAAGATATCCTAATTTAAAAATTATTTTCTAAAGGAACTAATTCCCTTTACCTGTCACATAAATAATTTAGAAACATGTTTACCACGTTAATATTCAAATCAATTTAAAAGATTTATAATGACATTAACCAAAGTAATTCCCCCAAAATAATATACAAATATTTCTGGCTTTAAAAAAAAAAATGGCAACCACCATATATAATGAAATATTTATCTTTTTTTTTTTTTTTTAAGCCTCATCTTTCTCCTGCAAAACAGCTGGTAGTTTCAAACTGCTGACCATGAGATTAGCAGCCCAACTTGAAACCACTATGCTACCAGAGCTCCGGAGTACTACCAGAACTCGAAACCACTATGCTACCAGAGCTCCAGAGCTTTAAGGAGCTCTGGTAGCGTAGTGGTTACGAATTGGGCTGCGAACCGCAAGATCAGCAGTTCGAAACTACCAGCTGTTCTGCGGGAGAAATATGAGGCTTTCTGCTCCCATAAAGATTTATAGCCTCGGAAACCCTGTACAGGGTCACTATGAGTCGGAAATGACTCCACGGCACATAACAACAACTTATCTATTTAACCGAATTTAGTGAATTTTAATCAACAAAACATTTAATCAAAGTCCCAAATTTACTAAATAAACACATAACTTACTTCCTAGTGAAAATTCACTTTCAGAATATTAAATAATCTGAAGTAGTCACAATATGATCTAAAAGACTTTAAATTTATCTCATTATGAAGCAGTGAAGTGTAACTAAGTTGAAACTGTTAATCACTCAAACCACTAGAGCATTTTGGCTGAAAAGCTCCAGAATTAGTTTTCATATACTCCCCCTTCCCATACCACCTCCCTTAGGCCTGTAATTTCAGGAAATGTGTATCCTCTTGTCGATAGGAACAACCCACCACAGGGATGTTTCTCGTGGAAAAAGGAAATTTCTTTTGCATTGCTTTCATGCCTAATTGGTTACAAGGAAAACCAAAGGCTATTGCACAATGCTGAATTGTTTCTGCAAAATAAACATTTTAAAGTTCTTCTTAAAACCTATCACTTTTTTCCACATATGGACGGATTAGAAAACATACATTTCACAAGTGCATTCTTTTCTGTGATCAGTATGCATTTTCTAATAAGTAATTCCAAAACAAACAAGTAGTATTTAATTGATTATATTTGTACAAAAAGATCAAGTTCTTAAAAGTTTTTGTAGACTACATGTTTTGTACAAACTAAGCGACCACAATTTTTTAAATATGGGTGAATAAATTACATTGTCAAAAATTTAAAAGAAAAAAAATGAGGTTAGAGAGAAGAGGCAAGAAAGAAACCTATGTATATATACACATATAAAAACTGAACTTGTACCTCAGATGATACTGGAGATTGTGGTGACATATTAGCATTATCACTGTCTTGCTAAAATAAAAAATTAAAAAGATGAAAGATGAAATTAAAACATGAATGATGATTTAAACATATAAAGGAAAAATTGAAACTTGTTTTGATTACTTGCTAAAGAAAGAATCTGAAATCAACCATCTAGCACTTTGCTACTCAAAGTATGCTTTGTGAACTACCAGAATTAGCAAGCACCCTAAGTCCTTGCTAGAAATGCAGAATCTCAGGCCCCACCCAAGACTACTGAATTGGAATTTGCATTTCAATAAGATCCCCATGTGGTTTGTAAGTGCTTTAAAAGTTGAAGTAATAGTGATATGCTCACATAAAATATTTCCCCATAAATGGATTTCTTTTAATTATTACATGTGAAAAACCTTTTCAATTTTCTTTAAAAAGAATCCATGAATGACTTGCTGAGCAAGTGAGCTCAGTACCACAGTCTCAGAGGATACCAACATCAATTGGCAGAATCCACAAAGACAATGTTCTACATCCTACTTTGATAAGTAGTGACTGGGGTCTTAAAAGCTTTTTAGTAGCTATCTAATAAACAACTTTCAGTTTCTACCCTCCCAGAGCAAAGAAGAGTGAAGAAAATCTAAGTTGCATAGAAACACAATTAGTTCAAAGGACTAATGGACCACGTGAACCACAGCCTCCATGACCCGGAGACCCTAAGAACTTGATGGTGCTTGGCTACTGCTACTGACCACTCTTAAAGGGATCACAGTAAGAGGTCCTGGATAGAATTAAAATGTGGAACAAAATTTAAAATCATAGAAAAGGCCCGGCTTACTTGTCTAATAGACACTAGTGGAACCCTCCATAGACACACTTCAAGCCTGAAATGGAACTTACCCCTGTGGCTCATCTTTTAGTAAAGCAATAGACAGGCCTATAAGGTAAACAGGAGTCCTGGTGTGGCACTGTAGAAGAAGAACTGGACCATGAGGACAGTTTGAACCACAAGGCCAGCAGTTCAAGTCCACCAGCTGGTCTTCAGAAACTCTATACAGGGTTGCTATGAGTCGGCACTGACTCATGGCATGTAACAACAACATGAAGTGAGTAATAACACCAGGGAGGTGCTCACTTATTAGAACAATCAATGTATAAGATCAAACAGGTAGCTTTTGCCTAGTTTTATTGATGGGAAGGCAGTGAGAGAGAGGAAAGAAGGCCAAAGGGAAAAGGTAAACACAGAGAAAGTAGGAAGAGTGTGGTTTCATTGTGGAGACTGCAATCAACTTCACAAAACTAAAAAGATCTGATGAGAAACAGCAATGGTGTGTCATAATCTGAGACATGAAGCATGCAATAACCCCATCATCCCAAATATGAAATTCACCTGGAAAAATCTCTGCATGCAATATAGGTTTAGATAAAATTACAAAGCATTCCACTGCATAAAACAATGCTAAATGGTCCATGAACTTTAATGGTTGTTTTACTATCAAATACAAAAATTTCGACATTTAATATTGCACATATATGCCACATATGTGCATTCAAGGCTAAATGTAGAGTGCTGTTTCTAATGTGACTAAAAGCAAATTGTACACACAAGATGGTGTGCAATACTGTTTATTTACTACCTAGACAGAAAGAGTCTTAAGTGTAGTAAAATATCCACTACCACATCTCTGTCTGCAGAGAAAGTAGATACATAGACACAAGTAATATAACATTCTTAGAATAATAATGTTGCTGTTGTTTTTAAGTGCTATTGAGTCTGTTCTGACTCAAAGCAACCCTGTATAGGGTTTCTGAGGCTGTAAATCTATATTAGAACAGAAAGCCTCATCTTTCTTCGGCAGAGCAGCTGATGGGTTTGAACCTCCAACCTTGCAGTTAGCAGCAGTCCAGTGCTAATTCCACATCACCACACCAGCACTATTTTAACACAATTATGGTTAAGTGCCACCAAGTTGATTCTGACTCATAGTGACCCTGTATAAGGTTTCCGAGTAGCAGCACGTGAATTTGAAGCACTGACCTTGAGGTCAGCAGTCCAGTGCTGATCCTACAGTGCCACACCAGGACTCCTAAACAATAATAGAGCTGTGCAAAACAGATTAGGGAACACAGATAAGAGGTACTTGGGAGAAATGGGGCTGTTGGAGGAGAAACTCAATTAAGGCTGATTTCCTGAGAAAGTAAAAACTGAGTCAGCTAATTAAGTGTTTACCAGAAAGAGAAGAGAACATGCCAAGATGAGGGTACAACAGGAACAAAGACACAGAACTAATAAATAGGAGGGTGATCACAGAAAACCTTTGAGTATTTCTGTATTACCGGAGAGTAAGGAGACAAAATGGAAAGAATCTAGGATTGACTCACTAAGTGATGGGGAGACACTGGAAGTTTCTAAAAAAGGGAGTGGCTTGATCGATATGGGTGTTCTTTGAAAAGTTAAAAGACTAGACTAGAGAAAGAGAGTAGAGCAAGCAAGCTATAGCAGTAGCCTAGGCAAGAAATGATCAGGGGCTGTTCCAGAGAGAAATAGTAAAAATGAAAGTGGGGAATGGATGCAAATATCTCAGTACCAGAAAACAACAACAAAAACCCCAGCAGATCTTGGTGGTTTATGAGATGCTGAGGTCAAAACCAATAAAATGGAAAAGAGAGGAGAGGGAGAGGTGCAAAGCACTTTCTGTAAAGGCCAGATAATAAATATTTTAGGCTTCATGGGAGATAAAGGACAAATATGGCAACTACTCCACTCTACTGTTGTAGCACATAAGCAACCATAGACGAATGGGTGTGGCTGCTCCAGTAAACTGGAAAACACAGGTGGTGCATCACATTTAGCCCAGGGGCTGCAGTTTGCTAGTCCCAGCTCTAGCTGAATGGTGGCTGGCGATAGATAGCAGTAATTCAATAGTTTTCAACCTTGACTGCAGAGTTCTGGTATGGCGCTGTGGGTTAATGTGCAAGGTCGGTCGGTGGTTCAAGCTCACCCACTGCTCCTTGGAAACCCTATACAGGGTCAATATGGGTTGGAACCGACTTGACAGCACTTAATAACAACAACTTTGGCTGCACATGAAACTCACACAGGAAACTTCTGGAATTCTCATTGCTTAGGCCATGAAATTAGAATATATGGCAGTGAGACCCAACTAACTGTGTTTTTTAAAGCTCACTAGGTAATTCAAATGTGCAGGCAAGATTGAGAATCATTGCACCAGCTGTTAAGATACTAACAATGGATGTATTCAGTAGAGATTCTAATCAGGTAATAAAATTGTGTAAGATTGCACAAGTCTGAAGCTCAGGGGAAAGGCTAGGGCTACAGACATAAATCTGAGAGGCATCAGCAAGTACACAGATGTTACTCTTAGAAGTTTGAAGAGCTGACACAGCCACCCAAGAAACCATGCAGTGAAGCACATTCTGGGGGACAACAATATTTAACAGTAAACTGAGATTGGGTAATTGACTGGGCTCACTTACATGTAAATAGGACCAAATGTACCCATATAAAATATGACATTCAGACTTAATCATAGACTCTAAGAGTGACTAGATGGTTAGCTCTTAGCATAACTCCCTATTATAACTGATTCCAGTAAATACTACTAGACAGAAGCCATGAAGAGAAGAATGGACATCTAGCCTGTGGAAATAAATTGTTTGGTTTGATTCACTGATTTTTCCTATGTGATTCCATTTCCTAAAAATAACGGTGTTTTCAGAAGCAGTGCCTAACATCCAACATCAAGTTAAATACCAATGCCCCCAACCAGAAAAACTCACAAACCTTAATTATTCACGGTGATAAGAATGGTATCATTTCAGTAATGCTAAAATGCTGCATGAAATGATGTATAAAAAGTTAAAGATCTCATTTTAAAATTTTAAAGTGTACACAGAATTTATGGAGACAGATGAATAAATTCTGAGAAAAAAATCTCACTGGTCACCAGGCTGATTTAGGAAGCAAAAAGATGGTCAAATAAAACAAATTCAAATTCATGGATTACAAGTCTGAGATGAATGATGACAAAATTCCAATACTAACTAACCTATTATAAATTGTCTTCTAGAGGACATATTTAAAGGGCATGATTAAGTTGATAACTGTAGGATGATGCATTTTATACTGATTGATACAGTTGCATATAAGAAATAAACATTTCAAATAATTGCTATTACTCTTTACTCACCTCATCATTTTCATTGCCACTTGAACTCTTCCTTGATGATTTATACTGCAAAACATTTAAAGCATAGTATGTTTATTTTCCTTGAACGTATGAATTCTCTACTAGTAAAATGTATGTGATTGTTATTTGTATTTTGGTATTTTTATTGAATTACTGGAGTTCTGGTCTGGTGCTGTAGGATAAGCACTGGACCACAAGGTCGGTTTGAATCTCAAAGTTGGCGACTCAAATTCATCAGCCGCTCCTAGAAAACCCTATGCAGACTTGCTATGAGTTGCAACCGACTCGGCAGCACGCAGCACAAACAACAACAATAAATTACTGGGTAGAAAATGTAAGTAAATAACCATTTTAGTAGAAATATTACTAATGTTGTTGTTGTTAAGTGCCCTTGTGTCTGTTCCTACTCATAGCGACCCCGTAGAGTGTTTCCAAAGAGCAGCTGGTAGATTTGAACAGCTGACCCTGTTGTTAGAAATCCAGTGCTTATCCTACAGTACCACACCAGGACTTTATACTACTAAAAGCTAACAAATATTATAGTGCTTTCTATGTGCAAAGCATTATTTTAAGTACTTTATATATACAAATAACATTTGCCATCCCATTTTCCATTTATTCAGGATACAAATATGCAGGATTTCTTACCTTTGTTCTTTTCCTTAATTCTGGTAGTATAGTGGTTACAAGTCCGGCTACTAACCTCAAGGTCAGCAATTCAAAACTACCAGCAGTTCTGTGGGAGAAAGATGAGGCTTTCTGCTCCCATAAAGATTTACAGCCTCGGAAACCCTGTACAGGGTCGCTATGGGTTGGAACCGATTCGACGGCAGTTCTGTGGGAGAAAGATGAGGCTTTCTGCTCCCATAAAGATTTACAGCCTCGGAAACCCTGTACAGGGTCGCTATGGGTTGGAACCCACTCCTTGGTACATAGTCACCACCACCACATTATGTCATCAAGTCAATTACTTTGTAATGTCTGTTACACTTCCGAATTCTCACAACTACCACATTCTCAAACGCTCTCATTAGCTCATACCTAATCTATATTCTGGAGTGCTGGTGTGGCACTGTGGGTTAATGCGCTGGATTGCAAAGTTGTTTGAACTGAAAGGTTAGTGGTTCAAGCTCACCAGCCACCTCTTGGAGAACCCTATACAGAGTTGCTATGGGTTAAATGCTATGCTAAATTTAACAATAACAACAATCTATATTCTATCTAAGACCTCAGAAATCATTCTAAGATGGTTAAGAAACCTACTAATTTCAGGTTTTAAAAAAGCCCCAAAAGCAACACTAAAATGAAATACTGTACAATAATAATCATACTGATACTAGCAAGCATTTATTCTGTTGTTGTCATTAACTGCTGACCTTGTGGTTCAAGCCGACTTTGCTGTCCAGCGCATTAACCCACAGCGCCACACCAGGGCTCCTGATAAGAGGAGCTTAAACCACATGCCAGGCACTGATTGAAGCACCTTACGTATCTCAACTCACTTAATCTTCATAACAACTCTATAAGGTTAATACAATTATCATCCCAATTTTACACTAAGGAAATTAAAGAGATAATATGCTAAATATGAAAAAAAGTTAATACATGAAAAAAAAAACTGTCTTAGAGTAAAGGAAATATAATATTAAATCACTAGATTTTTTTCTTCTGCTTCCTCCTAACTCCAAGAGATCCTGGCAATCAGTGAGAGATGAACTTTCTCAATATACTACTTGAAACTCAATGGCTAGCCTGTTGAAAAATCCACACGCTTTTTACATTCCGTCCAAACTTCTCTGCCTGACTTTCAAGGTTCTATTTAATGGGCTCTTTCACGGTGGAGCTCTATTTTCAACAACGTTTGAAAAAAACACATAACCTCCTCGGGCCGTTGCCTTGTTGTTGTTAGGTATCGTCAACTAAGCTTCAGTTCACAGCCAATCCATGTACCACAGAATAAAACACGGCCCTAATCCTACGACATCCTCACAATCAATCATTGCTATGTTTCAGCCCACTGTTGCTAAGTCAGTCCATCTCATTGGTCTTTCTCTTTTTGCTGACCCTCTACCTTATGTTGCTTTATATTACATTACTTTAGCGGGGCCCTACCTGGGATCCGCTGGAAAGGGTCCCCTGGTAGATTAATGATAGTTGTCAAAAGGATTGCCTTAATAGAATTACAAGTACACTACAAAATACTCCATTTTGTCTCCTGTGAATTATAAAAACTATCAGTTATCTACCACCAAGGCAGGCTTCCCAGCTTATCCTAGACATAGCTTCCATATACTTTGAAGCCAGTGGTCCATAGAGCCACTGACTAGAGTTGGCATGTGAGAAAAAAACCTTTTTGCCATTCCTAGGGGCAAGCTGCTCACCAAAGTCACTGATTCTGAATTCCATTCTACTTCAACCAAAGAGTGATATTTGAGTGAATAAAAAGCGCTATTAATAATATTCCATGGCAAGCACTGTTCTAGGCACTTTACATTATTAAAATATTTAATAGTTATAACAACTCTGAAGAAAGGTACTATGAAGAATCATTTGCAGCCAAAAATTAAACTCAGGAAAGTTAGATGGTAACTTGTCAAGGTTACACAGTTCACAGATATCCAAGTAATGACTAGAAATCTAATGGTTTGATTCTAGAAGTCCATGCTTTTAGCCACTATGCTATACCCCTACCTCTACATCCAGAATGGTTGGTGGTGGTGGTGGTGTCGGTTCTGACTCAGAGTGACCCTGCATAGGGTATCAGGGGCTGTAAATCTTTAGCAGAGCAGAAAACCTTATCTTTCTCCCACAGAACGACTGGTAGTTTTGAACCACAATCACTATGCTACCAGAGTTCCTCCAATGATTAGTAGGAATTTGCTAGGAGCAAAATGGCTAATGGGTAATCCCAGAAGGAGAAGCACAAAGGAATAAAATGTCTTTGCAGAAAACAAAGAGCAGTTCAGTGTGGCTATGAGGAATGTGAATTGTGGCAGGTGATTAAACAAAGACTAGGGATGGCCTGTCACGTTTTAATCATGAAAATACTGTCAGTGCTGAATAACAGCATTGACATACAGTGTAGTTTGTCAATTTTATAACTTTTAAAAGTCTTACAGTAAAAGTTGTTGACATACCAATTTTGGCAATGTCCTAACACTGACATCCTGTGGTCAATGAGGGGAACTACATGTCTCCTTGAAACAATATCCAACCAATTTTCACTGACTAGCGCTTATCTTTGCCAACTACTTTATTAAGGACGATATTAACGTTTGCTGCTGATGATTGTGTATACAATGGATACTTCAGTTATCTCATGGAATTAATAGGAACTTTATAACCTAACCATCAATGTCATTCTTAAGTGCTGTCCTGTGAGTTCCAACTCGTAGGGACCCTGTATAGGGTTTTCAAGAAATGTGTGGAGGGTTTGAACTACTTGAAGTTAGCAGCCCAGTGCTTATTCTATAGTGTTACATCAGGACTCCAACCATCAATATAAAAGGTATGGGGGCGGTGGTGTGCCACCAAGTTGGTTGACTCATGGCAACAGGGAGCAGAAGAGATCAGGGAGCAGAAGACCTTATCTTTCTCCCTTGGAATAGCTGGTAGTTTAGAACTGCTGACCTTGAGGTCAGCAGCCCAACTCTTAATCACTATGCTACCAGAGCTCATAGAAGGTATAGTTAAGTCATAAACAAACAAACAAATAAACAGTATCATGAATGGAGCAGTCTTGGTGTGATGCTGCGGGTTAAAGTGCTGGACTGCAAGGTCAGTTTGAGCCGCAAGCTCAGTAGTTCAAGCTCACCAGCCGCTCCACGGAAAGCCTATACAGGGTAGCTATGAGTTGAAACTGACTCAACTGCACATAACAACAACAACAACAATATGAATGGATAATGTCATGAAACCAAAAAGGTTTTATTTAAAAATATACTAAGACCTGTATTAAAACTTGTTTGAGCAATTCACTTGCGTGATTATAAATATTTAAAAAGCAATGAGATTGTACTTAATTAAAAGCATTTATTAATATCAGGACAGATGGATGAGGAGGTAACGAGGTAGCCAGAGGCTCCAGGTTCAAATTGTGAATCTGCTGCTTATTAGTTAGCTCTGTGACTTGCGGCATAATTCTCAAAGGCTCTTTGCCTTAATTTCCCATTTGTAAACTGGGGAATGATAACAACTGTACTATCCCATGAGGTAATTGTAAAGATTAAATGAATTGATATCCCTAAAGGTCTTAGAAAGGTACATGGTACATAGTAAGTGCCATGCAAGTATTTTTGATAGTCAGAATGTGTGTGTGATTTTATTATATGGAAATAAAGAAGACTCAAACCAGTATCAAACCAGTGAGGTATGCACACCATAGAATTGTCAATCTTTTGAGATCAAAAGGAAGAAGTGAGGCTACATGAAGGGGATTGCAATCAGTTGAGATGCAATGAAGGGCATGATCTGGTGGATATCAAACAGATAATCTGCTCTGTAAACTTACACTCGATTCACAATCAAGTTTTATTTTTTAAAGTATAAAATTGCTTGCATTATTTAAAAATACTGAACTTTCCTTCATACTTGTTTTATCAGTTAATGTTTACAGTCCCATGTAGTAAAATAGGGGGACTTTAAAATTAAATGCTAGAATATAAACATACTTGAAGATCTTTACAGGGTTTGGATACAAATATTTCCATCACTACCAATCAGTGTTCCTTTCCCTCATCTTTTATTTCTTCATTATCTCTTACATTGACCAAGCAGTATGAAACTCATCAAAATAATTCAGTGATTACTTGCTGAAGGATTAAATGCATCACAAATCTACTAACACAATATTTTTATTTTGGTCACATTATAGACTAGTTCTAAAATTATGTTATAATCCCAAACATCAAAAAAGTTTTCACCTAATATCAACCCTATGCATAGAACTCCCATAAGAACTTAGTAGGGACCAAAAGAAATGCAAGAAGTAGACTCATATAATCATTGAAAAGACAACATATTTGTTATATTAAATCATTATATAAAATGGAAAAAATATTGAGCAATATTGTCTTTTGTCTAAAGTACAAAGAGCTCAAGGGAGCAGTTATTTTTCATTAATTACTGATTATGAACCTCAATCCTTTCATAGTGAAACAAGATGGACCACAGAGATCCACTTCTATCAAGAAGAGCAAAACACCAAATACGAGCATACAGTTATATTAATTAGTAATTTAAACTTCATACAATCAATACTTTGGGTGCACAAAATATTTTTTAAATGCCTAGAGTTATGTATTTAGTTAAACTGAGACTTACGGAAACCAAAAAGTGAACAAAGCCAAGAGAATCTGGTATCATGGAGGAAAGTGGCTTTTAATCACTCCTCGTTTCAATCAGAAATACCAAAAATGGATTCTGAAAAGTACTGAAGATAACACCAAATATTGATGCTTGGCTCTGCAAATTTAGCAGACTTACTAGACAACAACAACTTTAACCACAATAGATAAAAATATAATATTGAGAATGTTGTGACAGTAAAACTTCATGAAAAGTCTGTTAATTTCAATTGGTTCCAAATTTTTGTTTTAACGATGATAAGCGGAAGAGCCTCTGAAGAAATCTGCTAAGAAAAGGAAGCATTTGGACATAAGAATAAAATCACTTTCCAGAATTAAAAAAAAAAATCACTTAAATAGTATTTAGTTACATAAAATGCTAATTGAACATATATGTGAACTATTTATTGAAGAAAATTCATTAAGAGATTATTTTCTGGGCAATTCTTTTAAAATATATATGTATATTTACCACTAGTAGTGAAAAAATATATTCACCTTTCTCATAAACTATTTAGTAACACAATTGAGATTGATCTACTCATTCTTAACTCCACATCACTGATATTTTCAACATACAATTTGATTGCACCCATACCACATTAAGTACAGCAAAAAATATAAAATAGCATATTTCCTATTTTAACTCAAGAGCTATATTCCAACTGAGTAATACAAAACAGAACAGATAAAATCAAAACTAGTAATTGAAAAATAGATATTCAAAATTTAATAAAATACCTTGAAATATTCTTTTCTAATCTGTTTACTCCGCCTCCTTTCTTCATTCTGCCAGATTATAGGTTGAGATTCTGGCCATTGTTGTTCATCTATTTGATCCTTCTGATTTTCTAAGGGCTGTAATGAGATAATTTCTTTTAATTAAATTAATTAAGAACAAAATAATATATATAGTAGTAATTTAATTTCCTATTTACCTGCCATGTGAGGGGTGATAACGGTGAATTTACTTCATCTGCTGAGACACTAAAAAATTTAAAAATGTTTTAATATTTTAAAATATTTAAGAGTTATACCCAGATATAGTTTATGAACATTATGAAGTTATCTATTTTTACCAGAAATCTAAAGGATTTACTCAGTCCTATGTTTTGAAATAATAACATAAAACTTAAAGTTGGTGAAGCATATTTAAGTTCCCAATAAATGATGCTTCTCTGAAAATATCAAAATGATTTTGTCTAATGTCAACCCTATGCATAGGGCTTTGTAGGGGTCGAAAGAAATGTAAAAAGTAGACTCATAAAATCAGTAATAAGTCAGATATTTGTTATATTAAAATCATTATCTAAAATGAAAAAAAATCAGGCAATTTATTTAGTCTAAAGTACAAAGAGCTCAAGGGAGCGATTATTTTTCATTAATCATTGATTATGATTCTCAGCTCTTTCATTCTAAGACAAGATGGGCTACAGAGGAAAATTTTGTATTTCCTTTTTATTGGGATAAGGTAAATAGTGCCTACAATGAAGTAGAAGGTTTAAGCAAAAAATATTCCTTGGGAAAATATATAAACAAAATACCCACTAAAGCTCTTATTAATTAAAATTTTATGGAATGTCTCTATTATACAACAAGAAAAGGAAATGACATAAAATTGAGACAAAAATCATACTACCAAAATTCGATTACCCAAGAGAAGAAGAAGAAAAAAAAATCCTTAAAGATATTAAAAAGTTAATATTATATTAACTACAGTTAATATTATATGAAATACAAGCATTTATAAACTTCTGATGTGGTGCTGTAGGATCTGCACTGGACTATGAATCACAAGATCGGTAGCTCAAACCCACCAGCTGCTCCTCGGAAACCCTCTACAGTGTAGCCATGAGTGAGAACCAACTTGACAGCACTTAACAACAACATCAACAATATAACCATTGATATAAGATATATTACAAACAAAAATTAAAAGGAAGGAAAAAGAAAAAATGCCAAGGAAGAGATTTAATGAGACATGTATAAGAAATAGAAAAAGCTACAAATATCTAGTAAAGGATTAGAATGGATTGGAATAAATAAATATCCAGTGAAGTAAAGAAAAATTAATGTTTTAGGTTATACTTGTCCTCCAAATTAATTCATTAAAATGACGTAAAATATAAAAACTCAAAACGTATTTGCTGGCTTGAATTAGAAACATGATTTTTGAAGTTTCAAAGATAATTTGGAAGAATGAATGATTAAGAAAAGTTATTTAATAAAGGGACTTCCCAAGCAGGTAATAAAATAAATTATATAAAATTCCAATAACAAAATTGTCCAAGATCCAAAAACTATAGATCTTCCAAAAGAAGATGAGTATAAGAACAACAGTCTATTAAGTTAAAATATGGTGCAAAAGATATTTTGAAATCATTGTGGAAATAATGTCTGATGGAGCTTGGCTGAAAGCAGAGAATATCAGAAAGATGTTTACCTATGCTTTATTGACTATACAAAGGCTTTCGATTGTGTGGATTGTGACGAGCTATGGACAACATTGCAAAGTATGAGTATTCTGGAACACTTAATTGTGCTCATGAGGAATCTGTACATGGACCAACAGGCAGTTGTTTGAACAGAACATGTGAACACTGAATGGTTTAAAATTAAGAAAGGTGTGTAACAGGGTTGTATTCTTTCACCATACTGATTCAACCTAATAATCTGAGAAGCTGGGTTCTATGAAGAAAAGCGTGGCATCAGGATTGGAAGAAGACTCATTAACAACCTGCGATATGCAGATGATACAACCTTGCTTGCTGAAAGTGAAGAGCACTTAAAATATTTACTGATGAAGATCAAAGACCAAGGCCTTCGATAAGAATTTCAACTCAGTGTAAAGAAAACAAAAATCCTCACCACTGGACCAATAAACAACATTCTTATCAACAGAGAAAAGACTGAAGTTGTCAACACTCATGAAAGCAGCAGCCAATAAATCAAACGATGCATTGCATTAGGCAAATCTGCTGCACAAGACCTTTTTAAAGTGTTGAAGAGCAAAGATGTCAGCTTGAGGACTAAGGTGCACCTGACCCAAGCCATGGTATTTTTAATAACCTCATATGCATGCCAAACATGGGTAGTGAATAAGGAAGACCGTAGAAGAATTGCTGCTTTTGAGTTATGGTGTTGGAGGAGAATATTGAAAGTGTCATGGCCTGTCAAAAGAACCAACAGATCCGTTTTGGAAGAAGTGCAGCCAGAGTGCTCCTTGGAGGCCAGGATGGCCAAACTTCATCTCTCAAACTTCACACGTATTGTCAGGAGGGACCAGTCACTGGAGAAAGAGATCATGTTTGGTAAGGTGGAGGGTTGGAGAAAAAGAGGAAGACCCCCAACGAGATGGATTGGCAAAGTGGCAGCATCAGTGGGTTCCAGCATGGCAACAATTGGGAGGTTGGCCCAGGATCGAGCAGTGTTTTGTTCTGTTGTGAATAGGGTCGCTATAAGTTGGTAATGATTCGATAGCACCTAACAACAACAATAAACAAATAGTGTTGAAGCAACTGATTACCCTTTAGCAAATACATACTGAAAAAAAGGAAAGAGAGGAACCAAGAGGATCGGGAGTAATGGAGTAAAGGACAGAGGGAAACAACTAGATTCTCTACATTGTACCAAATTAAAAAACAAAACAAAACATGAATAAATTGAAATTTTTAAATATAAAGAAAGTTGCAATCACATAAACCAACTTCAAAGCCAATGCTATCAAGCCGATTCCAACCCTGTATAGGATTTCCTAGACCGTAAATCTTCATGGGAACTGAAAGCCTCTTCTTTCTCCTGCTAACCGACTGGTGAATTTGAACTACCAACCTTGCAGTGTGAAGTTCAATGCTTATAGTGCCATCAAGGCTCCCTTGAAATCACATAAGTACTGGAAAACTATGGGCAGTGATGTTTAAAAGGTAGGGTGGAGACGGCCTTAGAAGGAAAGTATCGAAACTCAGTAAGCACAAATCAGGTACATAAAAAGTAAAAACTGGACTTTGCATCTGGTAAAGACAGAAAAACCATGACCTGATTTATCCTGACTGAAATTAATTAATTAAAGAACAGATAAAATACATAAAATGATGATTTTGAAGATAATGATTTTCAGGCAAAAAGGATTTCTATCCTTTAGACATGAGTAACACACAAGATGTGTGTTACTCACATCTTGTGTGTTACTCATGTCTAAAGGATAGAAATCCTCTGGTAGCGTAGTGGTTACGACTCGGGCTGTGAACCGCAAGGTCAGCAGTTCGAAACTACCAGCTGCTCCGCGGGAGAAAGATGAGGCTTTCTACTCCCGTAAAGATTTACACCCTCGGAAACCCTGTACAGGGTCGCTATGAGTCGGTTCCGACTCCACGGCACATAACAACAACAACAACAACAATACACAAGATAAACCTTGTAATTTAGCCAGTTTACTGCATAGAGTTTGTAGGCCTTAGCACAGGGAAGGAAAACCAAAGCAAGCTTCCTGAATTTTGGAGGCAAAACTGGTAGTCCAGGGAGAAAAAGGTAGGCAAAATTTTTAATGCAGAGTAACAGAAAGAACACTGCACAGAGAAAGAACTTAAGAGATCTAAAGAGGCACACGTATTTTGTGATAACATTACTAAAATATGAAGGAACAGCATAAGGACTCAGTCAACAAAAACAACAATAAAGAAAATATAACAAAATGAACTGAGCACAGAAATATATACAGAACAAGTAAATCATCAACAACAACAACAAAAAATGCAAAAGAATGACAGCAATAAATTCATACCTATCATTAGTTTCACTGAATGTAAGCTTATTAACTTACATTTATATTCAGTGAAATAAATGACTGTTGTTGTAAAGTGCCATCCAGTCAGTTCTGACTCATAGCAACCCTATTTAGGGTTTCTGAGGAGCTGTTGGTGGGTTTGAACCACTGATCTTGCAGTTTACAGTCCAGTGCTTATCCTACAGAATGATACCTGGACTTCAAAATGAATGACAGGTATGAATTTGCTGTTGCCATACTGCTTACGAATCAGGCTGCAGTTTGAAACTACCAGCCGTTCCGTAGGTGAAAGATGAGGCTTTCTGCTCCCATAAAGATTTACAGCCTCGAAAAACCTGTACAGGGTCGCTATGAGTTGGAACCGACTCCACGGCACTATGAACCTCCTAGAACCAGGGGAAGAATGATATCAAGACACCTGGAGATCGCCAACAGACACCAAGCCAACAGATGTTGAAAGCAAACAAAGTCAATTCCCCAGAGCCAACAAAGAGAAAGTCTTCCCCTAGAGCTAGTACTCTAAATTTGGACTTCTAGCCTCCTAAGCAGTGAGAGAATACATTTGCTAAGTTATAGCAGAGCTAGATAGGCTATGGACCAGGAATGAAAGGAAAATTTAACTTTTGAAAAATAACCAACATAATCCACCACACAAATAAAACAAAGGAAAAGAACTACATGATCATATTAATCCATGAAGAAAAGGCATTTGACAAAATCCAACACCCGTTTCTGATAAAAACTCTCAGCAAAATAGGAATAGAAGAGAAATGCCTTACCATAATTAAGGACATGTTTTCAAAATCAACAGCCAACATTATTCTCAATGGAACCAGACAAGAATGCCCTTTATCACCATTTCTATCCAGTACTGTATTGGGAGACCTAGTCAGAGCAACACAAGGCAAGAATGGGAAATAAAAGGCACTGAAATTGGTAAGGAAGAAGTAAAAACCATCTTTAATTGTAGATGATATGATCCTATTCACTAAAAATCCCAGCGATCAAAAAAGAAAACTATGAACTAATTCAGCAAAATGGCATAGGATAAGATCAATATACAAAAATCAATCATAATCCTTTATGTTAACAAAGCGAACTCTGAAAATGAAATCAGGAAAACAGTACCATTTAAAATAGCTACCCAAAATATGAAATAATTAGGAATAAACTGAACCAGAGATACAAAGACTTATGAAAACAA